ATTTTCATTTAAAACGGCCTCGAGCTCAATTAAAATTGTTGAATATAGATTGTTATAAAGGCCAAAAAAATAACAAAAACAAATAACTTAAGGACGAGCACACCTAAAAGTTAAACATTCTAAATATAGAATTATAGCAAAAACCAACAATACCAACAACCACATGATCAAGTGCATTGCAGCGGAATAGGTGCGCTTGATTGTGTTGGCATAACAAAAATGAAAATAGTGGAAAAAAGCAAACGATAATTTACAAGGCGTACATAGCACGGTGCATAGGCAACTGGCTGAGTCAGTGGGATCGTCGGTTCGAATCCTACTGAAATAAGTCTGATGAGGAAATGTGGTGATTTCCGAAATAGCTATCACTTCTACCATTTTTTCAAATTATTGTTGCTTTTCCACAATAAAAATTTTCATTTAAAACGGCCTCGAGCTCAATTAAAATTGTTGAATATAATTGTTATAAAGGCCAAAAAAATAACAAAAACAAATATTCTTAGAAAAGTAAATAAAGTTAAAGGACAGCACCTTGGGAAAAAGGACTATCCTTTGGAATAAATCACGGATGGTCATTGTACTTATAACAGATAAAATACTCACTCTACTCCTACTAGTATCGCGTTTTACTCTAATTGGGCGCATCCGTTCCTCCGGTTGAAATCTTTCGCGGAAAAGTGCTCGGAACAAACAAACTATACTTTTGGTAACGCATTTGCAGTTACCATGCACGCGGATATCCACTTTCTCCGCATATATGGTACCGCCGGGAGTCGAAAAAACTGTATGCTAGTTTTTTCGCAATTTCTTCTGTTATTTTTGCAGCTCCTAAATATGCAGCTCATCGTATTAAAAAACAACACAATAATTAACAAGAGTAAATGCATGTTTTATGTTAATACAATGTAATATTTCACTTACCTTCCGTTTTATATTCACTATCGCTGAAAGCTTTAATTTCTTTTAAATAATTCTATATATTTTTTTTTTTTTTTTTTTTTTTAAGTAATCACACACTTTTTACATTTGTCAAAGAATATGGTAGCTCGATTTCAAAAGAAAATGTCAAAAGCACAGTTTACGTCAAATGGGAGCAATGGCGGCTAAGAAGAAGAAGTGAATCTACCTTTAAATATTTGTATCATGATAGTCACTTACTGGCAAACAAGAAAACAGTACAAAACTCCACGTCACACGGAGCAGACGTGTAATCAATGTATGTATTTAGTGTTTAATTATTGTAATGTAAATTGTTATATTACATGTTTATATGTATTTTACGTTTTTGTTGTCAATAGTTTGCCCTGAAGACGGTTACCGGCGGTGTAACCGAAACATGTACATATATTGGAAAAAATTAAAATCCTGTGTTTAATTAAAAAAATTTTCTAAAACAATTTGACCTCGAGCCGGCACAACTAACAGATTAAGTAATAAAAAGGTCGCCAAAACCAGCATCTCTTTATTAATTTTTGTCTGAAAAGAAAAAATACATGCATAAATACATACATTCGTGCATATATAAATATGCATGTTATGTATGTACATATTTATGTATACAGTTTTAAGAAATATTGTACTAAATAATCTATGCTTATATTTATAAATAAGTTTTATTTTTTTTGCGTTCTCTGGTTGCACTACGATCGCTGCGATTCCGCGCTGCACGCGGTATGAAAGCAAAAGCACCCGTGGCAGCGGCGAAAAAATGAATAACTAGCGACTCCGTGGAAGTTTCCGTGTTTTTTATACCCGAGCGCACTTGTGCACACGGTTGTTGTTTGTAACAGCCAAAACGAATCGAGATAGATATAGACAAATGTATACATAAATGCTCAGAATGAATAGAGAAATCGATTAAGCCATGTCTGTCTGTCCGTCCGTCCGTGTACACGATAACTCGAGCAAAAATTGACATATCTCAACGAAATTTGGTATGTAGGTTTCCGTTACTCCAAGGTAGGTTGGTATTGAAAATGGGCAAATCGGACAATAACCACGCCCACTTCCAATATAACGGTAATTTTCGGAAATACGAAAACTGCGATATTTTAGTAACCTCTGAAGATTATTCACTCAAAATTGATATTTACAAAAATTTTTAGACGAAAAATAAGAATATTATAAATTTTTGGAAAATGGGCGTAGCCACGCCCACTTATGGTTACATGTGTATACCTTGGTAACCGCTGCACCAATTTCTTCCAAACTTGGCACAGTTGTTGGCCTTGGTACAGCATACTAAATGGCCGAAAATTAAAAAAATCGGACAATAACCACGCCCGCATCCCATATAACGGTAATTTAGAGAAATACAAAATCTTCGATAAATCAGTAAATATTAAAGCTAATTTATTCAAAATTGATGCTTGCAACAGTTCTTTACCAAGAAATACGTTTATGGTAAAATTTTGGAAAATGGGCGTGGTACCGCCCACTTATGATCACATATATGTATATCGGTAACCGTTCTACCAATTTGTACCAAACTCGGTATTTTTATTGTGTTTGCCACATAAAAGCAAAACGTTGAAAAGTTATTGAAATCGGACTAAAATTACGGCCGCTTTTCATATAACGGTAAATTTAAGAAATGCTTGAAACTGCAATATTTCGAAATTTAAGGACGCTAATTTACTCAAAATTGATACACCCCGGCTTACCATCTAGCGGTAGCTTTCGGTAAGGTGAAAAAACATATATTTAATACTTGCGCCGGGTATTTAATGTTCGGCTCCACCCGAACTTAGACTTTCTTACTTGTTTCTTTTTAATAATGTATTATAGAGTTTGATATTCAATGTAAACGATTAATAAATCTGATCGAAATTAATAAATATTTCCATTTGTTTATAAAAATTGTATAAAAATTAAAAAATTTATACAAAATAATGATAATTTGAAAAATTTAAACAATCAGGCTAAAGCGTGTCTAATTAACTATTATCGTGAAAAAGCTTAGCAAGATACATGCTATGAATCACTGGATAATAAATAATTACTGAATTCATCAAAAAAAATTTAACTCTGTAAAAATTCGAATTTTGCAAAATTGTTCAAATTATATTTTTTTTATGATTTTAAACAGAATAAAGTGATTTGTGCGATAAAAATCTTGACCATCCAATTTTGGGTGGCCCACTTAAGAGATTTTCACTCATAAGTGCCATGAATGTTGTATTCTTAGTGTAATTGCCGATGAACATTTGACCATTGCTGCACTGCTTGATCCCCGTTTTCATCGATTAACGACAGTTAGAAATCTTGGAAAATGTGTCCAAATTTTGACCAGTAAATATAACAAAACGCATCAACAAGGAGGTAATGTGGCAGTGGCAAAAGATGCAACAGAAAATAAACCCGCTACTTCCACTTCACGGAAGTCAAGTATGTTACTTGAGTGCTCTTTAGCCTGATTAGCTAATCTTATTTTTATTGTGTACTTTTATAGATTTGGAAATATTTTTTGACATTCAAGACGAGCAGGTGCCATCATCTGCTCCGCAAGAAGATTGCAACGTAGAAACGGACATGAAACGTTACCGAACGGAGGTCTACGTAAATTTAGATGAATCGCCGTTTTCGTGGTGGAATAAATTTGGACACATGTATGGAAGCTTAAAACGATTGGCACCCATATACCAGTGCATGCCATGTGTTGTGAACATGAATTTTAAGAAGCCTGTCAAACAGCAAATTTATGAACAGCATAAAAGATATATGCTTACAGGCAATTTAATCGATGCTATTCTCTTCCTGCATAATAATAACGATAACAAGTTTGATTAGATACGAGAACAATAACTGTTAATCTTTTATTATTAGCAGTAATTCAAAGTAAATAAAGATACGTAAGGTCGTATATGGACGGTTCGTCCTAATTATAAATAAGTAAGATGAGTATCAGCGTATTACAATATATACTTATATATATTATTAGAGGTCCACTCTTTGATGCGAAGATGTGTGCGTTTGAGCGAAAGTACGAAAATCGGCAGTTTTTTACCACAAACATATGGAACCGTTATGGCGTCGTTTCGCACAAACGCACAGCAAAGCAACAGAAACGCTAATTTTTGCCTTTCGAATTTTCGCATCAAAGAGTGAACTGCCTTATTATATATGTACATATGTATATCAATTGTGCAAATGCGTTTAAACTACATATGAATAAGGCTTACCTCTTTTTCTGCAGTCCAATAATGGAATTATTTTTGTTTGTGTGTGCATGCATATGTACATATGTATAAGGGTCATTCCATGTAAAGGAGGAAAACGACAAATTTAAATATGCCCTAATTATCTCTGTTTCAGTAGTCTCTCTAAAAGACTTTTTAAATTACTAAATTTCATTAATCTGTTGAAAATTATTAGACAAATAAAGAGAAGTTGTAATTTTTGTCTATGGAAACTCATATTTCATGCATAATTACTTTACACCAGTCACAAGGAGATGTCCCACCAGTCACAACTTTAAATATTTTTTATTCTGCGAAGATTATAAAACCTAATTTTTATTGAAAACGAAAGCGTATAATTCACAACACAAAAACATCGTTCGTGAAGATAAGGTGCTTTGGCTAAAATTCATCTTTGAGTGCACAAGGTTAAAACAGAGCTATTTTCCGTGTCCCAATGATAGTTACATAAAACTTATAAATCGATCGTTTGGTATTTTTGTTAAAGCAATTTTAAACATTAGTTATCGTTATATGTTAAAAAATATCTTTCGCTGTTGTATAAGCTCCGACGACATAGCTATAATTCTCAATTGATCACGATCTTGAGTAAAATGTCCCACCTGTCACAATGGAATGACCCATAAATATATACTTTTAATTAATATAAAAAATTAAACGTTTCCATAAGAATTTAAATTAAACAAGATTTTTTACATGAGAATTTAGTTTCGAAAATTAGCACTGAATTTCGCAAACATAATAATCTACTTGTTACAATTGCTACTTACATTATTTTTTTAATAAAGTCTTATGGAAACTAGCGCTTTTTTGGTTTTCTTTTTGGTGCAATTAGTGCGGACTAAACTTGACGTAACGTAACTTGTAACGAATCTTTTATATGAGAAACATATTTCGTCGCCTGGGTAAAAGATTGTCGTATGTTACTTTCGGCAGGTTTTGGGAGATCGATATTAAAGATTTAGTCAACATTTCTCAAAAGCTGTACAACCGTTTCTTAGCAAAATGTAATGCTTAGATGCACATCATCATTTAAACCACATTTTCTTAAATTTTCGGTAACTAGTATAGCTTTTACAGCCACTTTTTTATAAAATCATTTTATCGTATGTTAAATTTTCACGCTAAACGCTAGCCAGCTGTATGACACACTACACATCACACACACAGCCAGTAACCAAAAGGCTGAAATTGTTGAAATTATTTTTTGCTCGTTCGCAAAAAATTGATTCTAAATAATACACCTTATGTCGATTTCGTTTCTATCAAAAAATAGGTGTGTACTCGTATTAAACGGACAAAATTATCCGGCAGCAAAAATTCTGAGAATTTAGCAGCATTCGCTCTCAAAGAGACAAAATATCCACAGAAGTACACAGTATACCAGTAGAAAAGGTTTTTGTTTTTGTAGCTGTTTCGTGGTGAAAGTCCTTTATGGGGACCAAATTTCCCCACAAGAAATTGGACGCATGGTTGCTTTTGCGTCCCAAAAGAATTAATATTAGAAAACATTAAAAAAAGTCTAAGGTAATACAATTATATTCAACTAAAAATAATCACAATAATTTGCACTTATGAGTTAATGTGATAATCATGTGTAAAAACTCTTTTCAACTATTATTTTTCACAAAATAATTTTGCGGATCAGATTGCTCGAAGCGCTTGTGTTATTTACCGAGAAGATGCAGCCCTGTTGGTTTTGATTTCTGTATCGCATCGCGGTGAGTTTCTATTTCTTGGTAATTCGGTTGTGAAATGGTAAACAAATTATTGAAATTTATTTATTTGATGTGTATAACATTTCATTAATGCAATTTTCTGTATTTGCAGACTATTAATTACAAGCACAGCATCATCAACGGTGATTGCAAGAACTACTGCAATCCCTGCGGTTTTTCCTCTTGGTAAATGCGTTCTGGTCGTGACCAAGGGTGGTCTCCCAAATCGGCCGGGAATAAGGTCTGTCATTTTAAATTTTATATCTTTAAATAAATATGTTCCAGCAGAACTGCCCACCGCCGTCGGTGTAATGATTTCGATAGCTGAACAAATGCCATCTCCTGGGCATTCCCACAGCTTGCCGACACTAGCTATTATATCACGTGTGAATGCAACTGCGGCTAAATTTGGTTATTAACAGTGCAATAGTACCATGTCATTGGAAAAACACTAAGGGCTGCTGGCACCAGTGTTGCCAACTTTTGAATTTCAAAAAGCACCAAACCTTGGAAAAACGAGCGTTTTACCATACTAAAAGCACTAAATTTTTTTTTAATCAAAGGATACTCTTTTTTCATAACAGTTTGTGGTAAACAAAAGGAAAAAAATAAACACTATTTACATGTATAAATAAATACCAGAGAGCTGCATGGATACATTCAAATTACATTTTAAGTCACTCGCTTTCTTTTCACATCTGCACACACTCGCACTCATTTATTTCCAAACATAACGTGCGATATCATTCAAAAAACATTGTCGGTTGAGTGAGTAATTCACACTATCAAGTGCTCGATTCAAATAACAAGTGCTTGTAACGAAAGTATCAAAGAAAAAACATTTGTAAAGACAATTTTTGTTAATTTTATTGGTTTCCTAACTGTATATTATAATGCAAAAATATCAACTGATTAAGGGCATCATCATTTGACAAAAGGTGGCATCTTTTGTCAGAAATAACATTTCCAGCAGAAGAAAAAACTCTTTCTGACGATGCGCTAGTTGAAGGAGTGGCTATTACTCTACGACTGAGTTTATGCAGCAGTCCGTATGAAAATATACCTCAATATTTTCATATCGCCGCAGCTCTGCAGTAGCTTTATCAGTTCTGCTCACAAAGGTAGGTTGTTTAAGAAGACCTGAAAACAGCTCAAAGTTGTCTGAAGGTAACAAAGGTGTATCCGCAATTTGTGGTTCCGTTGTACTATCAGAATTCCCAGTTAACGTTCTCATAATTGGTATAAACATTTTCCCTTTTGTGTACCTTTGCTCAGATTCGGTAAAGTTCTTGAGCTCTTTTGCTGGCGGGTATAAAAAAAAGCACCATTTTGTGCAAATCTGTTAGTTTTCAACAGCAACCGTTTTTAAATAATAAAGCAACTTAACTAAAGTCCCTTCCTTATAAAGCCATTGTCTTCTGAGGTAACATTGCATTTCTTTTGTAGACTAATTATATAAATGTACGTCAGGTGCATAACTAAATAATTTAGTAAAACTAATATATTTAAAAAAATACTTCATCAATATCCACTTTTTTCAAAATTGTCGTATTCTCTACTAATTGTTTGAAGTCAATGGGTGTCATTCGATTGCTCGACTTGCTTTTCATAACAGCATTTTTCACTCGCTTGACTTGATTTGGAAAGAGTATATCAATGCCATATTTGAAATCAAATATGTACACTGCAGCTAAACATTGATTTCAAAACTTTCTATGAATCTCACTGTTTGTACGGTGTTTCTCACTAACCTTATAGAGATCACAGCAATGAGTTCATACTGTTTAGATGGAAGTGAGTAAACTCATGCTGTTGTCTGATAAATACCCATTCATGCTTACGAAGTAATACCGAAGTACTGCACATTAAAACTGGTAAATCTGGAGAAAAAACAATCGAATCGCAACAAACGAAATTAAATTTTAAAGGGGAAGAGTAATACTTAATGATACCCTAAGTAGAAATGAGCGAAAAAATTTGATGTTTTATAATATAACTCCAAATATTGCGAAAACCCGTGTTTTTACACTTAGAGGTTAGGATATCTCAAAATTCTGACGTGGTAGAGAAATTCTGCTGCCAGTTTTGGATGCAGCACCGAAAAATCTACAAAAACCGATGCACTCTTGCCACCTGAGATAAAGAGATAAAATTTTTCGAACTGTGTAATCAATCAATAATCAAGAAAATAAAGAAATAAATACTTATCTGCGTGCTAGCATTTTCAACGCGAATACAATTTCACAAGAACGCAAGAACGTGGGTTTGCAACTTCATCTTTTTATCATCTTGTAATCATGGTTTGCATTTTAGTGCATTTAAATTTGTAGATTCTTGTAAATTCAGAAATTTTAGTTAAAAAAAAGCACTAAAAAGGGCACTAGGCACTAAACCATTTTGTTTGGTGTTTTAATTTTCAAAAAGCACTAAATCTAGTGCTTAAAGCACTAAGTTGGCAACTATTGCTGGCACATAGAGGTTGTAAAGTTTTTGGTATCGATGAACTTACTCGAAGAAGACGATGGCCGAAAACATATGATGAAACATCTTCTGGCAAGCCTTTGACAATCGTTAAGTCAGACAGAGGCTTTACATACGATATTTCACACATGGCTGGAATTCGTTAGCGGACAGAGCACACATTTACAAAATATTTATCGTTCTGCAGAACGTGCATGCATATTCGATTCCGATTTTATGGGTTGATTTCGGAGGACAACCGAACTTCAGTTGGTTGGCCAGTGGCTGAAATGGTATTACCGATGGCAACTAGCAACTGAAAGCGGGCAACTAAGTTGCTATATTGGCAACTGCATTCTTGTGGCTGCCGGGAAATTTGAATTGAGATTCTTTATTTCTTTTTTCAACTATTTTTTTTAAATTGTACCACTTTGAACTTTAAGAAACTTAATTATTGCTATTCATAATAAAAAACAATTTCATTTCAGTGGCGCTGTCCATCGGCAACCCAACTGAGGTTCCGTTCCCATCCATAATCGATCAGAAAGTCATAATCGTACGAACTAATCAAGGCTATCATAGAATCCATCGTAGTCCAATTTTTCGTGAAATCTACGAAAATGCTATTAAGTTCGAGTAGCTACGAACGCAGCGCTTGCTTTGAATACACACGTTCATAGCAGTTTAGATTCAGTGATCGCTTTTTCGTAGATTTTAAGAAAAATCGGACTACGATGGATTCCGCCACCAATATGTTTTCTCCTTTGACAAGATGTTGGAGAATCACGGCAGCACAGCCGTATACCTACTCTATGCTCTTACGTGCATATGCTAAATTTCTCGCACCTAGCTAAAGTGCTTGACAAAGGCAGAACGCATATCTTCAACATAATAACTTAAAGTAAAAAAGTTTAAGGCATGCAATAAAAGAATACAACAGAACCAAAAAATGTTCTCAAAACTATTAAACATAAAAAATTGCACGAATAAATTTCATAATTTAAAATAAAATATCGCAATTGTTTTTTATATGTACATACATATTTACAAAATAAATCTTAAATCACTCACAGTAAGTCCTAAACATATAAATGACTAATAAGAAAAATAATAAATAACAGTAATATGAAGAAGTATGTCGAGAAATCTCTAAATAGTAGCGAAACTGTATCTCAATAATAACAAGTAATTTTAAGCAAAAAATACAACCGACTTCAATGCGCATTTAGGTCGTTCTGGTTACGTAGATCCGACTGTCCTCCCTTTTCTTAAAATCGTTAAAAAAATGAATACGTATTCTACAGAAAAAATCAAGAAACATATTTAAGGATTTTAAGTAAAAATAAATAAAGGAAAACTTGTTCGTGATATCTCGACCAAGTTGTATTCATGATACAAAAATCTAAAGGTAAAACCGCTGAAAGGCAGCAACATTACAAAAATGTTTTCAAATTTCCAATCTCACAAATACATTCTCATTTTCGGTCTCAAATAAATGAAAATTTCAATATTTTCATCTATTTGTTTTTTGTTTTACTTTTATTTGGCATTTGAGTTGCTCTCAAAATTTCAATATTATAAAATAGACAAACTTCAAAAAATAAATGATGGCCGACGAATTGAGCAAGCGGTTTTACCTTTAAATATTTGTATCATGGGTGTATTAAACAAGGGGCCTTATGCATAAAACCTAAGCAAATGCTTTTTCTTAAAATTTCAGACCTTTCACTAAATTTTTTCAAATAAATTTAAGTGAAAGGTATGAAAATCTGAGAAAAAGTAATTGCTTAGTTTTTATGCATACGGCCCAAGGTGTTATTAACAACTCAGTGCGGCTCTCTTTTAAGATACTATTATGTAGAAAAATATAAACAAACGATTCAAAATTCATACAAATGGATGGTTCTTCTGAGAGCATGGTCAAATTCAATCACGCTTTGTTAGATACAATTTGATCTCTACTAAATAATATACTTCCTCTGTAAATATTTTATGAATTGTTCCGAAATTCGCTCCGAGCGCGTTCACTGTTGATCATTTGATTTAAATAGTTTATCAAACAATTAATACTATTGTCTAAGCCGCCGCTTAAGCCGAGTTCAGCGGCCGTGCGCGCGCACTTTGGCGGCAGTGGAGTCGACGCGACTCCGAAAATAATTACCGAGCGCGCTCGGCCGCCTCCCAATCGTCGTGCGAAAATCCGCACAAGCCAGTTCAGCTACTCAAGTCGGACAACGCGCAAGCGCCCCCTTAATATCAGCAATTTTAAAACATCTTTTTTACTGTGTCCTCCAAAATATACTTTGAATATATGAGCAAACTATTAAGCAAAATACATAAAAAATTAAAAATTGAAAACCAACGTATTTCCTTAAAGCGGAAAGAAACTGTGTGTGTGCAAGGTGAGTGCGAAAGGCAACCATTGGAATTATTCATGGTCCTTCGCAGCCAACCGTGGCCCAGCTCCTAAAAGAAAAAAAAAAAAAGAGAAACATTTTAGAACTTAAAAATAAATTAATAAAACCTACAAAAAAAAAAATCGGTTCTCGTACGTCCGCAAAAACAGACATATAAAAACAATTTTAAGAGTGGAAAAAAGATACAAACAAAAGTGCACGTATATACATACATATACATATACGCAACAAAAAAAAAAACACAAGAAACGTGAAAAATAAAAATTGTTAAATTAACAAAACATATAAATTTTTTTAAAAAGAAGTGCGCAAACAAGCGTTCGAAGTGCTACACACAAGTGAACATATTCACAAAAGTGCAAACAATTTGAAAAAAAACGTAATTTTGTTGCGCAAAATTTCAAAAATTTATATACACAACAACAACTAAAAGAAGAAGCAAAGCGCAATCAGCAGCCATCAACCAACCAAACCATCAGCCAACATTGGAGCGACATCACCAGCATCAACATAAGCGGTAACAACAACACCAGCACAAGAAGACCCCGGCGCAAAAAGGACTTACACACATTCATATACATAAATCAAGGAAAGTAGTAAGTAGGCAAATTTTTAATTTCCTTAAAAATTTAAATAATATAACTTTCATATTCTTGAAAGTTATATTATTTCTAATAAACTGCCAACGGGCATACATACGTATATGCATATATATACATATATATATATAATTAAATAAAAGGCGTATTTATTCTCGCCAAAAACGGTTTCACTAAAATTGCGGATATTTTCTTGCCGCCCAAAAATCTCACATCGGCAATTTGCCGCTATTGAATTTTGGTAGAAACATTCCGTTTTCCGGAAAGCGGTATATCTCCACTTACCGCCAATCTTATATATATATATAAGTATATGTACATATATACAAATTCTGATATATACCCCAAAATAAATTCCGTTGCAGTTTATATGCCTACTGTGTCCCACTGTGCAAGAACAAAATATTAGCACATTAAAATCACATACTTTCCTCTGCTTACCAATTTTTGCCGTTGGTCGCATAGTTCGTTGAACTTGGCTAAACAAATTGCCGAAAAACATAAGTGCACTATTTCCCATATATCATATGTACATACGTTAGCACATATAAACATTTTTACCAGTTGCATTTTCTGCAACTATTCGTATAATAGCTAAGAGAGTCGCTGCTATTTATCGAACAATACAGTCCACACGCAAGAATGATAGAATACAAGATTGCGCCGATCAGAGAGGATTTTTGAGAATAACTTTTGAGTGACGTCACACTGGTGCAATTGCGAGAGAGAAATGCCAAAACGTGAGCAAGAATCGAAGAAGAAGAAAAAATGTTGCAAGGAAAACGTAAACAAGTTGCACAAGTGTGACCTCATGCAAACAACGATTCTGTCAAATTCGTTAAGAGAGGAATAGCGGTCCGAGATCGGCGCAACCTTTGTATTCTCTCAATCGTGGTCCACACGTACCAAGCGCACTCTAGCTTATTTTAATTTATTTCAATCTTGCTTTTCTCTGCTGCACTCACCAAGCTAAGAGAACGTAAATCAAAGCCCGCTCTCTCAGCGGTGAGCGGCTCTTTACGTATTATTATATCCACTTGTGCATTCCCGCACACATACATACATACGCACTATAATCAAAACAAATTCTCTGTTGTTTTCGTTTCTTAACTCACCACTGCTGTGACAAAGCATAGCTTAGCCATATACTCGGCTTCATACGTAAATATTTGTACATACATACGTACGTACATTTTTACATTCTACATATTCTGCACTTTTGTACATACGTGCTAACAAAGAATATTGTCACACGAATATTATCCATAACGCGATAAGAAGTGAGTTCAAGATATCAGATACATGCAACCCAGTAGGGAAAGCTCCCGAATTGCATTGGTCTAGATAGTGATAAATAACCATTACTTTTTCAGTATTTACATAATTAGTTATATCACATTAAATATTTATACATACGTATATTTCACCACGTATATAAAAGTGAAAAGTGTTTGTGATTTTTTTTTCTCGTACAGAAATTTTTCAAATCCAAATTCCGCGGATTTAATTGGGACGCTCCGTTTTCCACGTAATAAAAAGTGCTGAACCAAAAATTAAAGCAAATATAATTTCACGTAATTTGCAAGAAACAAAAAACACAAACACCGCCACAAAATCTTAAAATTCTTTTCCTGATTTTCTGTGGCACAAAGTGCAATTTTTACTCGTTTGACATATATTTTTCTAATTTTTGCGAACGTTATCTGGGTGGTACTCAGTAAAATTTGATAAATTTTTCTCTCAATTTTTATACGTGTGACCTTCCACAGCATTAAAAATGCCACTTGGACACAGTCCACCAAAAATGTCTGAAATCGAGACAAGGTCAAAAACTGCTTCGCAAGAAGCCACCGGTGGTAAGAGGGAACCCTCACCGCGCCCGAAACCTAAAACCTTTGACCCATCCGCTCAAAAGTTTATAGCGGAAAGTGACAGTATCATGAGATACTGTGCAAGATTCAGTGATGCACCGATCCAAGACCACACTGAATCATATCTTATGATAAAAGACAAATCACTAGATGATTGTTGGGCCCGGCTTCAGTCCGCCTATGATTTGGTTTTTTCAAAGCCAGATGACAGCCTACCCGAAAACTTTAAGAGTTCGGTAGAAGGCAAGTACTTCACTTGCCTTGAATTATATGAGGTGACCAAAGCTAAAATTGCCGATCAACTGTCGTTGATTAAAGCAATCGCCGCACCGAGTCCACCACCCCGCGTGGAACACACCTCGGCAGAGGCAAACGTTTTTCTTCAAGTCCCACCTTGTGACACGGAGACATTTTACGGTGGTTACGAAGAATGGCCCGCTTTTCGTGACATGTTCACAGCGGTGTACATCAACCACCCGAAGCTCTCCCGTGCTCAAAAACTGTATCACCTCCGGTACAAAACTCAAGGAAAAGCCGGTTCCATCGTCAAGCAATACCCGCTCAGCGATGATAACTTCGGGCTGGCCTGGGAAGCTTTACGGTCACGATACGAAAACAAACGTATCTTGGTTGACAACCAAATTAAAATTTTGATGACTTTGCCGACTATTCAATCCGAGAATAGCGAGCAACTTCAAAGGCTGCAAACATCAATTAACAACTGTCTGTCAGTTCTTAATTCCCAAGACGTCTAGACAGACAGTTGGGATCCCATATTGGTGTACATTTGCTCATCCAAATTGCCCGAAACCACACTGTCACTTTGGGAACAATCTCTCTCTTCTCGAAGAGATTTACCCTCATGGTCACAAATGGACGATTTTCTTACTTCAAGATACGAAGTAGTCGAAAGACTTAACCGGCTTCATCCAAGCCAAAATAAACAAAAACCAGTCGCTCATCAAAATGCTGCGCAAAACAGGTCCTTTAACAGGACTCAAACCTTTGTGGCAGAACCTAAGAGGGAACCAACTTGCTCTTACTGCAAGTCCCCTCATCCCATTAGAGTCTGCCCACAATTTAAGCGAATTTCGGTACCGAACCGAGTACAATTCGCAAACCAAACCAAGCTGTGCAAAAACTGCCTTGGTAATACCCATAGCACTAATGAGTGTCCGAGCAAGTGGTCATGTACACATTGCCAACAACGACATCACTCCCTGCTGCACATGAACCCCAAACCACAATCTCGACACTCCAGTGCGCGAGCGAATGAAACCGCCGCACAACACACTACTGCCCAGTCGACACCTCCCGCTCGACAAGCGCAGTCAAGCTCCGATTCCAGCGAGCAACCGTGCTGTTCCAAACAAGCACAAATACAATCATTGCACACCGACAATGATAGCAAAATTCTCCTTCCAACTGCCATAGTCGCAGTTGAACACGAGGGTGAATTGTTTCAACTTAGAGCCCTGATTGATCAAGGCTCACAAAGAACTTTCATTTCCTCGAAAGTTCAAAAACGGTTGAAACTACCATTCGAACATTCCAAGTTCGAAATTTCCGGCATGGGCGGACATGTAGTACAAAGCTCCTCAAAGCTTTGTCCACTCACATTGGTAGCACCAAAAACCATGCAACGGATAAACACACAGGCTATCGTGTTACCTCAGCTCACGAGGCACATGCCTACATTCACCATTAGCCGTGAAAACTGGCAGCAATTCAAGATCCTTGAACTTGCTGACCCAAGCTGTCACATACCAGCTCAAACTGACATGGTAATCGGCAGCGATATACTTCCACAAATCCTGCTGGAAGGTATACAAAATATTTGCGACACAATACTTGCGCAAAAAACAATATTTGGCTGGATTCTCAGTGGTCCAGTAACCGAAAATGTGGTGTCATTCTCGACACAAGTAGAAGAGTGCTCGAATGCAACTCTCAGCTCTCAGCTTCGAAAGTTTTGGGAAGAGGAGGAGATTCCACAGCCTCCACAAATTTCCCCGGAAGATCAGGCTTGTGAGCATATATATGCAACAACAACGACTCGTGCCCCAAACGGTCGATACATTGTGCGACTTCCATTCAAGGAAGAATTTCCAAAAAAGCTGTCTCTGGGCCACTCTCGGTCTGCTGCACTGCAGCAGTTTTTTAGCATGGAGCGATCGCTTCAGAAAAAAGGAGACTTAGGCACAATGTATAACAATGTGTTGCAAGAATATCTCGACCTCGGTCATATGGAGCACACGAAGCCATGTGAGATAGTAACTAATGGCAAATACTTCTCATTCTACTTGCCACACCATGCGGTCGTCAAACCAGATAAGGTAACCACCAAAGTTCGCGTGGTATTCAACGCCTCAAAAACATCTGGTTCAGGAAAATCCCTGAATGACGTGTTGCACACTGGTCCCACACTCCAGCCAGATCTCGTGCTGCTCATTCTGCAATGGCGAATGCACAGATTCGTGTTCAATGGCGACATTGAAAAAATGTATCGTCAAATACTCATCCATGAGAACGATGAAGATTTTCAGCGAATCTTATTTCGCACATCGGCTGACTCTCCTGTCACCGATTATAATCTTAAAACCGTAACGTTCGGGGTTAATTGTGCACCATACCTCGCTATCCGTACCCTGCATCAATTAGCAGATGATACGATAGCGACATTTCCCTTGGCTGCCACAATACTTAAAACCGAAACGTATGTGGATGACATCCTATCCGGAAGTCATGATATTGACAACGCCACTGAATCACTTCTTCAAGTGATCAAAGCGCTTAAGTCAGCTGGTTTCATACTCAAGAAACTAACGGCCAATCATCCGGCCATCTTAGAAAAATTTCCAAAGGAGGATCTTCTCGACTCCAACTTTTTGAAATTTGAGAGCGCTTCCACAACCAAAACTCTTGGTATACAATGGAACGCACTCACCGATAAGTTTTCCTACACCATTCCGCCTGCATCGACATCGAATGCCGTCACAAAGCGACAAATCTTATCCTCTGTCGCAAAACTTTTTGACCCGGCAGGATGGCTATCGCCAGTGATGATTCAAGCAAAGATTCTTCTTCAAGAACTTTGGCTAGATGGCGTTGATTGGGACGAATGTGCCAAACCTATATCTTTAGCAAAATGGCAACAGTTCGCAGAAAATCTGCCAGCTATATGCCACATCGAAATCCCTCGATGGGTTAATTGCACTCCGGGGCAAGATACCCAAATCCACGGGTTTTGCGATGCCTCGGAAAAAGCATATTGCGCTGCGATTTACATCCGCGCAGATGCTAGCAACCAAAGATATTCCACTCTCTTGGTTGCAAAAAGCAAAGTCGCACCATTGAAGACGGTAAGCTTGCCACGCCTGGAGCTGTGTGGTGCAGTCTTACTCGCAAAACTGGTCGCAACTGTTCGAAAACAGCTCAAATTGGAATCGTGCAACATATTCTTATGGTCAGATTCAGAGATTGTGCTAGCTTGGCTTGAAAAGCCACCATGCACATGGAAGACGTATGTATCCAATCGTACCTCTCAAATCCGGGAATATCTTCCAACCGGTACATGGCGCCATGTTGCCAGCCAAGACAACCCAGCCGACCTCGGCCCCCGTGGTTGCAAACCGCAGGACTTGGCAAATTCCCCACTCTGGTGGCACGGACCAAACTGGCTCTCTTGCCACATGGATGCATGGCCAAGGTCAAAGGCATGCAGTGCATCTCCACCAGAAAAGCGCAAGGTGGAGGTATATCACGCGCTCGAAGAAGAGGTCGATTTTCTTGATCGCTGTTCTTCTTTCTCTCGAGCACTCCGCGTGACTGCGTACATGTTCCGCTTCGTGAGCAATGCCCGCAACAAATCAAAGGGGTTAGCTACAATCACCTATCCGCATCTGACATAACGAATTTCAATATGCAAAAATTCGTCTTATCAACGCAGCGCAATCACGCCATTTTCCGCGCGAAAAAAACGCTTTGCAAGATAAAAAGCCACTTAACAAAAAAAGTCCTCTAATTGTTCTCAATCCTTCGTTGGACAAAGACGGACTTCTACGGGTTAATGGCCGATTAGCACATTCCACATTAAGCTATAATGAAAGGCACCCAATAATTCTCCCTACCGAATCGAGGTTCTGCCAGCTATATTTGGAGTTTTTACACTCGCTGCTTCTTCACGCAGAAACACGATTAATGCTCCAAATGGTAAGGCAAGAGTACTACGTACCAAAGCTGAAACCTCTAATTAAAAAATGCATCTTTCAATGCAAAGTGTGCACGCTGTACAAGCAACAAACACGCACCCAAATAATGGCCGCTCTACCCCCTGAGCGCTGCAGTTTCTCACTCCCATTTTCCACAACGGGAGTAGATTTTGCTGGGCCATTCCACATTAAAGCATCGGTGCTAAGATCTACAACCCTTATCAAGGGATACGTTGCAGTTTTTGTCTGTTTTTCCACAAAGGCAGTGCATCTCGAGCTATGCTCGGATCTTACAACCGAAGCTTTTCGAGCAGCATTCGCCCGCTTCGTTGGCAGACGAGGTTTTCCCTCAAAAATGATGAGCGACAATGGAAAAACGTTCATTGGCGCCCAGCGCGCAACAGAACGCGACTTCGTTAAATTCCTTAACGAATGTTCCGCAGACATTGTCAAAAAATATGCCCCTCAAGGCATCAACTGGCAATATATACCACCCAGCGCCCCCCACATGGGCGGCTTGTGGGAATCTGCAGTGAAAAGCTTTAAAATCCATTTAAAGAAAACCGCTGCAACCCACAAGTTCACTTTCGAAGAATTCACGACGCTTCTGGTGCGAATTGAAGCAGTCCTCAACTCGAGGCCTCTATCCGCACTTTCTCAAGATCCAGCTGATATGACAGCACTTACTCCGGGTCACTTCCTTCGAGGTGCACCGCTGTTGGCCATTCCCGAGTCTAATGCGGAAAACCTCTCTCTACTAAACCGGTGGGAGAAAGTCAAAGCACTTCACCACCAATTTAGTCGTCGCTGGAAAGAAGATTACCTCAAAGATCTTCAGAAGAGATACAAGTGGAAAACCCCACAAAGCGATCCTCAGCCAGGCGACATCGTCGTGATCAAAGAAGATTCACTCCCCCCCACCGAGTGGCGATTGGGACGAATCGAAAACGTTCGCCATGGCCCTGATAACCACATACGTGTCGTGGAAGTCCGTACACAAAATGGAGTTATCACGCGGCCACTTGTCAAACTGTGCTTCCTTCCAAAAGCACAATAGATAATTCTATACATATTTTCCTTCTGTATATTAAGGGTCTTAACTTCCCGTTTAAACATTGTACACAAGTACTTCTCGTTTCTCTGCCTTTGCTTCTACTTCCAGATCGAAGACATCATGGCAGCGCGGAAGGCGTGCCCCCTGGCTCCAACGGCAGAGACAGACAACTGCCTACAATGCCGGCTCTGCCACCGTTACCACGCATTGCGGACGTGCCCGGCCTTCAAGGCGATGAAGCCGCCGCAACGGTTGGGAGTAGCCCGCGCGCAAGGCTACTGCGTCAACTGCCTTGCGCTCACCCACACTATCGGGGAATGCGACTCGCCGGGTAGTTGCAAGACCTGCGGGCCAGCGCACCACACGCTGCTGCATGTGGCAGCCAACACGCATGCGCGCACGGGGCCAAGGGAACAGGGGCCCAAGAAGAGGAAAGCGGCCACAAAGGCCCCAAGGAGCGTCAAGCGGCGCGCACCGCCGAAGAAAAAGGCGCTGAAGAAGGCGCAGAAGAACCCGCGCAACCATGCGCCGCAACCGCCGCGCAAGAAGACCGCCCAACGGACGATCGCGCGCACGCTCCAAGGCCTACAAACGGCCAATTTCCAGGGCCGCACCACCCACCGCGTCCTGGGCAACACGATCCGCGCCCTGAAAGAGCTGCAGGAGACGCTCAGCAACGCATTCCTGCAGGGCGGGGATGATGTCTAAGCCGCCGCTTAAGCCGAGTTCAGCGGCCGTGCGCGCGCACTTTGGCGGCAGTGGAGTCGACGCGACTCCGAAAATAATTACCGAGCGCGCACGGCCGCCTCCCAATCGTCGTGCGAAAATCCGCACAAGCCAGTTCAGCTACTCAAGTCGGACTACGCGCACGCGCCCCCTTAATATCAGCAATTTTAAAACATCTTTTTAACTGTGTCCTCCAAATTATACTTTGAATATATGAGCAAACTATTAAGCAAAATACATAAAAAATTAAAAATTGAAAACCAACGTATTTCCTTAAAGCGGAAAGAAACTGTGTGTGTGCAAGGTGAGTGCGAAAGGCAACCATTGGAATTATTCACTATAGTTTGATCTGAGTTAATATATTCTTCAGTAATTAATTATAC